AGCTATGCGTCGTATTTCATTTATTCCGGGAAAACTGAAATTGAAAATTGAAGAACAACGGTGAATCCCGATAAAAAAAATGTTACTTAAGGTGAGACATCTTTAAATTACTTTTTTACTTTTGTAAGAAAAATAAAATTCTGATATTGAGCTGATGAATTGAATAATATTCTAATCGATTTTAGTATTTCTAAAGCAGCCATTGCATATGATAATTGTGATCCATTTTTTTTAATGGAAGGATATCGGTTTGGTCCTCAAAATCAACATTTGTCATAGTCATCAAAAGCTTATAACAATTTGAAGTCTCTTATATATGTGTGTGTATGAGTCGCGCGCATATATTGGTCGCGGTTTCGGATCGCTCAGCAAATTGTTTTTTCTAGGCAAAAAGTGAAAAATGCAATACCAAATTTGGATTGGCGGTACAGTAAAGCTTCTTAAGATAAACTCAAAGTTAAACTTTCACAGTCATAGTTTTATGTGTGGGTTATTTTAGTCGGAGGAGGGGATACTGATCTTAAGTTTATCCAACAAATCGTCTCACACAAACGGCCATGCATTCCGAATATCTGCAAATACCTTTTCTTAAAAGTAATAAGGACTCCATAATGTACATTCCAGTTTCTTATAAAGCACATTATCAGAGAAAGAATAATGTGAAGACAAACAAAAAGCAAGTGGCAACATGCCCACAGATGCACCATGTTCCCTTTATATGTGTGTGTGTGCGTGTGTGTGAACAATACATACATATATATATGTATATATATGTGTGTATGTATGTACGTTTATTTATACACCTTGCCTTTCTCTCGCCCTCCCCCTTGCCCTTCTCTCGCCCTCCCCTTTGCCTTTCTCTTCCCCTCCCCCTTGCCCTTCTCTCCCCCCCCCTTGCCTTTCTCTCCCCCTCCCCCTTGCCCTTCTCTCACCCTCACCCTTCTCTCCCTCTCCCCCTTGCCTTTCTCTCGCCCTCCCCCTTGCCCTTCTCTCCCCCCCCCTTGCCTTTCTCTCCCCCTCCCCCTTGCCCTTCTCTCCCCCTCCCCCTTGCCTTTCTCTCTCCCCCTTGCCCTTCTCTCCCTCTCCCCCTCCCCCTTGCCCTTCTCTCCCCCTCCCCCTTGCCTTTCTCTCCCCCTCCCCCTTGCCCTTCTCTCGCCCTCCCCCTTGCCCTTCTCTCCCCCTCCCCCTTGCCCTTCTCTCCCTCTCCCCCTTGCCCTTCTCCCCCCCTCCCCCTTGCCCTTCTCTCCCCCTCCCCCTTGCCCTTCTCTCCCCCTCCCCCTTGCCCTTCTCTCGCCCTCCCCCTTGCCCTTCTCCCCCCCTCCCCCTTGCCCTTCTCTTCCCCTCCCCCTTACCCTTCTCTCCCTCTCCCCCTTGCCCTTCTCTCCCCCTCCCCCTTGCCCTTCTCTCCCCCTCCCCCTTGCCCTTCTCTCCCCCTCCCCCTTGCCCTTCTCTCCCCCTCCCCCTTGCCTTTCTCTCTCCCCCTTGCCTTTCTCTCCCCCTCCCCCTTACCCTTCTCTCCCTCTCCCCCTTGCCCTTCTCTCCCCCTCCCCCTTGCCTTTCTCTCGCCCTCCCCCTTGCCTTTCTCTCGCCCTCCCCCTTGCCTTTCTCTTCTCCTCCCCCTTGCCCTTCTCTCCCTCTCCCCCTTGCCCTTCTCTCCCCCTCCCCCTTGCCTTTCTCTCGCCCTCCCCCTTGCCTTTCTCTCGCCCTCCCCCTTGCCCTTCTCTCCCCCTCCCCCTTGCCCTTCTCTCCCCCTCCCCCTTGCCCTTCTCTCCCCCTCCCCCTTGCCCTTCTCTCCCCCTCCCCCTTGCCTTTCTCTCTCCCCCTTGCCTTTCTCTCCCCCTCCCCCTTACCCTTCTCTCCCTCTCCCCCTTGCCCTTCTCTCCCCCTCCCCCTTGCCTTTCTCTCGCCCTCCCCCTTGCCTTTCTCTCGCCCTCCCCCTTGCCCTTCTCTCCCCCTCCCCCTTGCCTTTCTCTCCCTCTCCCCCTTGCCCTTCTCTCCCCCTCCCCCTTGCCTTCTCTCCCTCTCCCCCTTGCCCTTCTCTCCCCTCCCCCTTGCCTTCTCTCCCCCTCCCCCTTGCCCTTCTCTCCCCCTCCCCCTTGCCCTTTCTCTCTCCTCCCCCTTGCCCTTCTCTCCCCTCCCCCTTGCCTTTCTCTCTCCCTCCCCCTTGCCTTTCTCTCCCCCTCCCCCTTGCCCTTTCTCTTCTCCCTCCCCCTTGCCCTTCTCTCCCCCTCCCCCTTGCCTTTCTCTTCTCCCTCCCCCTTGCCCTTCTCTCCCCTCCCCCTTGCCTTCTCTCCCCTCCCCCTTGCCCTTTCTCTCCCCTCCCCCTTGCCTTCTCTTCCCTCCCCCTTGCCCTTCTCTCGCCCTCCCCCTTGCCCTTTCTCTCGCCCTCCCCCTTGCCCTTCTCTCCCTCTCCCCTTGCCCTTCTCTCCCCCTCCCCCTTGCCTTTCTCTCCCCTCCCCCTTGCCTTCTCTCCCCCTCCCCCTTGCCCTTCCTCTCGCCCTCCCCCTTGCCTTTCTCTCCGCCCTCCCCCTTGCCCTTTCTCTCCCTCCTCCCCCTTGCCCTTCTCTCCCCTCCCCCTTGCCCTTCTCTTCTCCTCCCCTTGCCTTCTCTCCCCTCTCCCCCTTGCCCTTCTCTCCCCCTCCCCCCCTTGCCTTTCTCTCCCCTCTCCCCCTTGCCCTTCTCTCCCCCTCCCCCTTGGCCCTTCTCTCCCCCTCCCCCTTGCCCTTCTCTCCCCTCCCCCCTTGCCCTTCTCTCGCCCTCCCCTTGCCTTTCTCTCTCCCCCCCTTGCCCTTCTCTCCCCCTCCCCTTGCCTTTCTCTCCCCCTCCCCCTTGCCCTTCTCTCGCCCTCCCCCTTGCCCTTCTCTCCCCCTCCCCCTTGCCTTTCTCTCCCCCTCCCCCTTGCCCTTCTCTCGCCCTCCCCCTTGCCCTTCTCTCGCCCCTCCCCCTTGCCTTTCTCTCGCCCTCCCCCTTGCCTTTCTCTCGCCCTCCCCCTTGCCTTTCTCTCGCCCTCCCCCTTGCCTTTCTCTTCTCCTCCCCCTTGCCTTTCTCTTCTCCCCCCCCCCCTTGCCTTTCTCTCGCCCTCCCCCTTGCCTTTCTCTCGCCCTCCCCCTTGCCTTTCTCTCGCCCTCCCCCTTGCCTTTCTCTCGCCCTCCCCCTTGCCTTTCTCTCCCCCTCCCCCTTGCCTTTCTCTCGCCCTCCCCCTTGCCTTTCTCTTCTCCTCCCCCTTGCCCTTCTCTCCCCCTCCCCCTTGTCTTTCTCTTCTCCTCCCCCTTGCCCTTCTCTCCCCCTCCCCCTTGCCTTTCTCTCCCCCTCCCCCTTGCCTTTCTCTCGCCCTCCCCCTTGCCTTTCTCTCGCCCTCCCCCTTGCCTTTCTCTCGCCCTCCCCCTTGCCTTTCTCTCGCCCTCCCCCTTGCCTTTCTCTTCTCCTCCCCCTTGCCCTTCTCTCCCTCTCCCCCTTGCCTTTCTCTTCTCCCCCCCCCCTTGCCTTTCTCTCCCCCTCCCCCTTGCCTTTCTCTCGCCCTCCCCTTTGCCCTTCTCCCCCCCCTCCCCCTTGCCCTTCTCTCCCCCTCAACTTCCCCTTTTCTCCCCCTCACTTTGCCCTGTGTGTGTGTGTGCGCGTGTGTGTGTGTGTGTGTGACATGTTCTTCCCCCGATCCTCCCAGCCAGCCGGCGGCCGCAGCCAGAAGGAGCGCCGTCAGGGGGTCCGCCGGGGACTCACCGTATCCCTTCATGATGCCGTGCGTGAGGTAGAGCGGCGCCCGGCCCGTCGTGATCTTCTGGTTGAAAGTCTCCCGGATGAGCTCGGGGTCCGCGATCACCACCACGGGCACGCTGCCCATCTTCAGGCTGTACACGCGCCCATACTTGTGTACGAGTTCCGTCAGCGTCAAGTGAGGGGCGCGGGGGTCGATCCACGGCAGGTAACCAACCTGCAAGCATTACGCTCGGTCAGAGTATGCGTTTACCTGCAGGAAACTGATGTGCTCTGCTTGTGCAGAAGACCTTATGTATAAAGTCTGAATAAAACAGTAAGTCAGAGAGAGAGATATGTATATAGATGTATATAGATGTAATATATATGTGTGTGTGTGTGTGTGTGCGTGTGTGTGTGTGTTGTATCACAAAGTGTAGGATTCATGCTGTGCAAATTGAAAATAAAACGACGACGAGATGAGCTAGAGAACTCGCGAATATGACGAAGGCCTTTTCGCTGAAGCAGGACAGAAAGGACTTCGGGATATTTGGGTTTTCTTGCTATTCCCTTCACTGTTTTATTGACATGTATCACCAAACAAAGGGCAGGTACATCTGGTTTCCTCTCTAGTCTCTAAGTACATCCTCCTCGTGTTGCCGCCTCAGACACGGGTGAACGATAATCTAATGAGGACTGCCTTATATTATATCAATAAGGACACAGTACCAGCGCCCCATAACTTAACCTAAAAGAGATTATTGGGACTGTCGTAAGTGCTGACGTCTTATTTGATGGGCATTTAGCTAGTAATTCCTCTAAAGACGAAGACGAAGACGAAGGTACATGTCTATATATTATGCACATTATATTCCTATGAAGCTTAGACTTTTCTATCAAATCCCACTCTTAAGCAACGCCGCTCACCCCGCGATAGCGATTTCAATTTTGCAGTAACAGAACTCAAATGAGTCCCTATTTCGGATTAATGGTCAGTATGGTTGCTGTTAATTGGGGGGGGGGCAGTTGCCCTCCACCCCCAAGACTGTTTGCCCCCTTTAATGTCTGGCTTGCCATCCCTAAGGGCCACATTTATTATTATTATTTATTTATTACTATATTACACCTATAAAGGTCCGATTATAGCTTAAAATGGCCTTAGAATAGTTAATTTTTCTATTTCTTGTTCGCTTTCTTCGCTAAAAGCTGAAATGATGTCATTATTTTGCAGATAGGATTTGTCATTTCTGCTGTTGTCTCGCCAAAAGGAAAGAAACCCATTTCTTGTAAATATTTGAGATCATAGGCATAATAAAGTTTAGCTACATAAGGTAGCTTAATTTGTCTAGGATACAAAGTCTAAGCAAGTTGTACAAAATGATATTGCATTTTGGGCTGGACAGAAAATGCTTTTAGTTCCAATACTGTTAGTGAACATTATTGTTTCTACGGCCCTATCACCGCACTCCCGCAGCCGAATCTCCACCCCATTCTCCGTTCTTCGTGTGCCTGACTCCCATGTAAGCACATCCTTCTACCTTATTCTCTATTGACCTCTGCACAATCGCTAGTCTGCCTATTTCTTAACTGCAGCAGCATCCTCTGGCCTCCAAATAGTAGAGGAGATTTTCCTGTATATCTCTTATACACAACAAAATGTTATTCTTCCTACATCCTCTCCTTGTCGTAGTGAATTTACAGCTATCCAGCAAGCTAATCTCATCTGTTGTCCTCTCCTTTTTATGGCCCAAGTTCTTTGCCCTATATATCTGTGTTAACCTTGTATATGACTGCATTTTTTCATTTTTGATTGATTATTAGTTATTTAGTTCCTCTTTTTCTTCTCCATTTTGTGTTTCTGTAATGCTAAAGCCATCACTCCCTTCTCTACCACAGCTTGCCAATCAGTTTTGTCAAAGAAACTTTCATTCCACCCTTTTGAAAACTGCTACATTCATCACACTGTATCTCTTGGAACGTAGAGTCCGCAGTAGTTGCAGTGTCAACGGCAAACAGTAGCGACCATATTTCTTCCCGCTGCGAATGTCGTTAGATTGCGACTGATACGCCATCGAATGGATGCCGAACCAACGGCTTGATTAAAGTAGACTACTTCGACGGCAGGTCCATTTTACCGTTTTGCATGCATCAAGTCTTCAGAACCGGTTTATCATTAGTGGCCACAACAAAGCCCATCAAGCATGATTAACCAAACATGAAATGATTAGTTTTTATTGTGGTCCGGAACAAAAAAGTGAATGAATTCTTTAGTGAGAATGAGATTGTAGTACTTTCCGTCGAGATGCAACTTTGACATTGCGTGTGTTAGTGTCGAGCTGGCCAGATCTTAAAGTCGAGAGCAACTCTGTAAAACGCTTTTGGTCAATATATTTTTTTGGGAAAAAGAACAATCCTATTTGCAGCAGAAAGTGAAACTGAACGATAAATTTGAATTCATCTATTTTTTCACATATCTAAAGTGCGCCTCATAACGAACGTCATCCAGTGACAGCAGTGACGTAAGGACGATGGCATTCCGGGCACTTTATGCTATTGTACTAGTAATGAAATGACTATTGGGTATTTTTTCATGGGCAGCTATGGTATTTTGTATCCAGAGTGCCAACTACAAGATTAGTATTTGGCTCCAAGTACCAACGATAATGTAAAATTAATGAAAAGTAATAAGTGATTCCAATCACATAAATACAGAGACGATAGAGCTGCCACTAATATAAAACAAAATTATCAGTAAAATTATAATTATGGGATATTAAGTATGAACTCATATACAGGGAATATTATAAGGGATCAAACTATTTGCTCGTCGTAAGAAAATCGTTGAATATCTGCAAAGGTGGATAAATGAAACCAAATGAAGTGAATGCATTGTAAACAATGCTGTGAAAATAAATTTAGAAACGGTTATATATGGCAAAGATGAGATGAGATGTCAAATAAACACAGGAACCAATCTTGACAGAATACTAAAGCTAAACAGTTCAGTCCTCTCATTTCACGAGGAATTCTTGGCAACTTGTCACCGTAAGAAGAAACTAAACATTTTGAATTGACTACCAAAATCAAGAATTATCAATTATTATTTTCTTATTGGTTCATTTTTAAACAGGTGTAGGTACAGACTACGTTTTTTCTTCTCTTGTTTCAGAAAATATTTGTACCACTGTGTGTTTACAAAGATCTTGATTTTTTTTTACCAGTAGCCTACATGGAATGAATTTTACTTTTAGAGGAATGTTTTACGGTTTTATTTTTGCTAGTTAATGCATTATACATCTAGATATAATCTTAAAGGTAAAAATTACTTCAAGGCACCAGAAGTAGCATGATTAGTTTGGGCTGTGCGAATATCAGCCACCTGATGGAATATGCACATCGTTTGATAAAGCCAGGCCTGAATTCTGCATGATGCAGCTAACCAAAGCACAGGGTGGTTCAGAAAGGTCTGTACTCAAAATTCATGACGAGTACTTTGCAATGCTTTAAGTCTAAGGAGCTATACTTTTGCCATTATTATTACCTGTCATTTTTTCTTTTTTTTTTTCTTTTAATAACCTGTGTAACCGTAAACTAAATTATATATTTGACTGCAAAGTTCACTGTATCAGGTTCAACATTTACTTTTAAACTATGCAGAGGTAAACCACAGATACTACAATATAGCAAATTAAGATCATGACAACCAAGGCACCAAATGTAAAGGCTGCAACACTAGGATTTCTAAGGACTTCAGCGGCCATTTTCGTCAGCCAAAGAAGACAGCCTTGTTCTTGCGTACTTGGTATCCCTGGGGTAGCTTCTTGGAGTTTTAATGTTTACACTTTGAACGGACTGCCGGAAGTTCAAAAATATATTTTGGATATAGATGTAAGAGAACGGCGAATCAAGAGAGTGAATGAAAAACGGGGAATGATGTAGAGAAAAGAAATCTGAAAAGGTCCTTTTCTTTTCTGTCGCGTTTTTTGTAAATATATAATCGAGAAAGATCGATGAATAGAGATCACGAGAGCGTGCGTAGGTGCTAGATTCACTCATAGTTGATGATCATATTTGTGAAGCTCTATAGAATAGAATATTCCACCTATGACCCAGAAAGACCTCAAATGCACATCAGTTATTGTGGTTATGTTAATAATATTGATCATCACCATGTCAGCAATTAGTGTTTGCAAGTCACGTCTGGCAAACGAAGCACATATGTGGCGGATACTCTGGTGAACCTCAGAAAACGAAAGAAGAATGGTATACAAAAGTGTCTATTGTTAAGAAAACAGTTGATAAAAAAGGAAAAATACAACTGACAAATGCCTGTGACAAGGACAATGGTTGCCTCTTATTTTGGAAGTCAAAGTCTGATATACACTTCAAATACGACTGTGTATAAGAACACTAGATGAACTATTCGTTAAAACAATGATGATATGACCTGAAAATGTCCTTACCAGAGGCAGTCCCCAGGGCCCCGGGGGCATCTGCCACCACAGGCGCACCAATTGTAGGATTCTCAAGAGCGCCAGCAGGAGGGTGGCAGCAACCAGTGTCCCAGCGAGCCCCGTGTCCGGCCAAGAGGAGAGGGAAGACATCATGACCTGAAAGACAACACACAATAAGCGTATGCACAAGAGAAAGGAAAATTCACGCTTCTACGGAACCGTAAGGAAGCAATGTATATTTATATATGTGTGTGTGTGTAAATATATATATGCACACACACGCGCGCGCACACACACACACACACACACACACACACACACACACACACACACACACACACACACACACACACACACACACACACACACACACACACACACAAACAAACAAACATACATATATGTGTATGTGTGTTAACACACACACACACATACACACACACACACACACATGTGTGTGTGTGTGTATGTGTGTGTGTGTGTGTGTAGTCCTTGGAACTCTCCCCAAATTTGCCCTGTGTAATCGACAGACATTTTTCGTAGATCTCTTCCAAATGAACACTCAGATCTTTTTCAGGTCTTTTTCATGACCTACTCTAATTTTTGGCTCTATAGTGGATATATATATATATTTACACACACACACATATATAAATTAGTGTGTCTACATCTCTCTCTCTCTCTCTCTCTCTCTCTCTCTCTCTCTCTCTCTCTCTCTCTCTCTCTCTCTCTCTCTCTCTCTCTCTCTCTCTCTCTCTCTCTCTTCAGCAAATCTTGACTAATAGTCGCTTTCACGAGATGATTGCAGAGGCCAAGTTATGATAATGTTGTAAATATGCCATATTCTGGTCTTCAAGCAAGATCCAAACAGATAAATCCATTAGCAAGTTGCAGCCCATGTACAGACAATCTTTGTCTTGTTGGTGTCAACTGCTTTCTACGGAATAATCTGCGCATTCACAAAGGGATTGTTACCGAACAAAAAGGCCCGAATTTTGTCTAAAGACGCTGTTCCATACAATGGTATTGTCATTCCGGGCCCGAGAAAGCTCAGCCCATCAATTACACCGACATCGAACCAATGTTGAATGAAATGCCAGACAATGAAGATGAAATTGGAGATGCTTGACATTCTGCGTCGGTCTTTGCAGAGAAAACGTGATTCTACGAAGCACACCATCAGCAACACTGTACCGTTTTCTTCTATTAAGTTTCTTTTATGAGGTTCTTGATCAAGCTAATCAAATTCAGAATGAAGCAAAGTATCTCAAGGAAGATGTTCAACGAAGATGTGTTAAAGCAAGACCGAACATGAAAAGAGGATAATTTTGTTGAACTAGAAAGTCTTTATGCACTAGATTAGTGTTAACCTCATTGGAAGGTAACTATGAACATCCATCGGGTTGTTGAAGTAGAATGATACTTGGAGCTGAAACTTGATCAGCCTGATTACCTGATAAAACACATCGCTGTGAGGATCGTGGCCAATTGGAAGATAGCTCTCGAGCCTTGTGTCCTGCTGGAGAAGCCACTTAGTCTGTGTCTTTTCGTAAAATTGCTATGCACAGTCTTCTAAAGTTCTTTTTCCGAACTGCCAGTGATCACGATCATGGTTGCAGCGAACACAGCGTTATAAAGACTGAATGCTTTAGCCGAGATGTCAGGTGAAAATGACCTTTCAGTCATCGCTGAGTCATCACACACATGGATATGCTTATAAACTGAATATATGCTTTTGGATCACTTATTCACGAATTATTCGAATAGATTTTTGGGAAGGGTAACGTACTTGTCTGCCAATTGATCTTGCAAACATTTTCCTTTGCATTTTCATTACCTATAAGTTAACAACATACAATTTCAGTAAGACATATAACGTAATAAATAGTAAAGAAAGAACTACTTTTCTGTAGTATCGAATCAACTCTATTGTCGAAAGTAACAAAAGCCTGTAACCATACGTACATAAGAGGATTCATGTGACCAAGGCCAGTGCGAGCGATAATATTGTCGATGGAAGGACAAAGCAAAACCAAAGCCGAGGCTCAACATATAACAGGTAGCGTCTTTTGAATGCCTGTCGTCAGGCAATGACGCTTCATTTATCATGCCGCGAGGAGAATTAAATGTTTACAGGAATATCCCCGTAGAGACAGAAAGGGAGCAAAAAATAGATAATCATGTTTTAATGGCTTCCTTGTGTCTTCAGGAAATTATATTACAAAGAAAAACTTTCCACGAGAAGAGGGCTGTTTTAATACATTTTTTTTTAAATGATGCCAAAAGAAAACTTAAATAATCATGCTTAAATAGCTTCCTTATCGAGTAAGGAAATTGTATTACAGAGAATAACTTGCATCCCCTTCCCCAGGAGCAGGTGCAGAAGTGTGAAATGAGGGAGGGGGACCGTGACAGACGAGCCCCGCGTGGAGACGGAGGAAGAAAAATGCCATCTGCAATCTCACTCCAGGTCCCCCCCCCCCTCTCTCTCTCTCTCTCTCTCTCTCTCTCTCTCTCTCTCTCTCTCTCTCTCTCTCTCTCTCTCTCTCTCTCTCTCTCTCTCTCTCTCTCTCTCTCTGCCGCCCCCCCCTCCCATCTCTCTTTTTCTCTCCATCTGCCATCTACAATCTCACTCCAGTTCTCTCCCTCCCTTCCTCCCTCTCTCCCTCTCCCTCTCCCCCTCTCTCTCTCTCTCTCTCTCTCTCTCTCTCTCTCTCTCTCTCTCTCTCTCTCTCTCTCTCTCTCTCTTTGCCCCCCCCCCCCCTCCCATCTCTCTCTCTCTCTCTCCATCTGCCATCTGCAATCTCACGCCAGTTCTCTCCCTCACTTCCTCCCTCTCTCCCTCTCCCTCTCCCCCTCCCCCCCCTCTCTCTCTCTCTCTCTCTCTCCCTTCCTCCCACTCTCCCTCTCCCCCCCCCCCCCCTCTCTCTCCATCTGCCATCTGCAATCTCACTCCAGTTCTCTCCCTCCCTTCCTCCCTCTCTCCCTCTCCCTCTCCCCCTCCCCCCCCCCCCCTCTCTCTCTCTCTCTCTCTCTCTCTCTCTCTCTCCCTCCCTCCCTCCCCCTCTCCCTCTCTCCCTCCCCCCCCCCCTCTCTCTCTCTCTCTTTGCCCCCCACCCACTCCCATCTCTCTCTCTATGCATCTGCCATCTGCAATCTCACTCCAATTCTCCCCCTCCCTCCCTCTCTCCCCCACCCCTCTCTCTCTCTCTCTCCTCTCTCTCTCTCTCTCTCTCTCTCTCTCTCTCTCTCTCTCTCTCTCTCTCTCTTTGCCCCCCCCCCCCCCATCTCAAGGAATCGCGAACGTGGCCTCCGAGGGGGACTGCCGTCACTTGTCCTCGAGCAACCGCGTGGTGGGTAGGCTCTGGCCTGCAACCATGTCGTGCGAGTGCTTCTGGGAAAACGCACGCGTGGGATGGGAAATTAATCTCATCTAAAGAAAAAGATCTTTAATCTGAAAGGTGGGGGAAAGTAGGGCACTAGACATTGAAGGAGAATGACATGAAGGACATTTCAGGATAAAAGAATTTGTATTTAACATAACGTTTCTAACTCATCAAAAGATCCTCATCAGACGAAGGTATTGATCAGGTATTAGTCAGATGATAAACTCTTGACGAGTTCGAAAAGTTATGCTCAATATCAGCTCTTATAGTGGCTGTTTTCCTTTTATTTTTGTGTACACGGTTCAACTTTTGTGTTTGTGTGTGTGTGGATGTGTGTGTGTGTGTGTGTGTGTGTGTGTGTGTTTCTGTGTGTGTGTGTGTGTGTGTGTTTCTGTGTGTGTGTGTGTGTGTGTGTGTGTGTGTGTGTGTGTGTGTGTGCGTGCGTGCGTGCTTGCTTGCTTGCGTGCGTGTGTGTGTGTGTGCGTGCGTGCGTTCGTGCGTGTGTGTGTGTGCCTTTGTTATCGCTTTAATATGTGTTTATGCCATTTTGAGTTTAGCAAGGAAATCGGACATTAATCCGGTAAATGCGAAGGTATCAGACGTTAGCTATTGTTTATTTTAACCGCTTTCAGCATGACCCAACGGTCGTGAACGTTGAATTTTCAGAAGGCTCTGCAGTTGATACTATTAGAGCGAGTATAGAAATATAAAATCCTATAAGAGAGGATCATTGAAATAAACAACAAAAGCACAATAGAACTAATCAACGAGTAAATCAGTACCACGTGAAATACCAACCTGTAAAATAGGAAAAAGCTGCTGAAATATAAGTGACCCATTATACATATCGCATACACCATATACTTAAGAGATCACGTGAAAGATGCTCTCATCTGTTTGTCAGTGATGTGGCTGACACTTTCAGAACTCACACACGGTCAACTGGCGTATGATTTCGTGCGTACCTGTA